AAAACTAATCATCAAGTTTATATGTTAAGCGAAGAAGCCCTGGTAAGTAAAGCACTGTTGAAGAAGAAGAATAAAGTAGGAGGACTCGCACTACCTGATCTCAGAACCTACTATATAACTACAGTAGTCAGAACAGCCTTGTACGGGTACAATGACAGATACATTGACCAGTGGAACAGAATTGAGGACCCAGATGTAAATCCATCTACGTATAGTCACCTGGTCTTCGACAGGGGCCCCAAGTCCATCAAATGAGGGAAAGATGGTCTTTTTAACAGATGGTACTGGCAAAACTGGATGTTCATCTCCAAAAAAATGAAACAAGACCCATACCTCACACCATAAAGAAAAACTAATTCAAAATGGATCAAAGACCTAAGTCTAAAACCAAAAACCATAAAGTGCATAGATGAAAAAATAGGATCAACACTAGAGGCCCTAATATATGGCATTAACAAGATACAAACCATAACAAACAACACACAAACTCTGGAAAATAACCTAGATAACTGGGATCTTCTAAAAATTAAACACTTATGCTCATCAAAAAACTTCACCAAAAGAGTAAAAAGAGAACCTACAGACTGGGAAAAAATGTTTGGACATTACAAGTCCGACAAAGGTCTAACCTTTGAAATCTACAAGAAAATCCAACACCTCTACAACAAAAAGACAAATAATTCAATTAAAAAATAGGCAAAGGAAATGAACAAACACTTCACCAAAGAAGACATTCAAGTGGCCAACAGACACATGAGGAAATGCTTGTGATCACTGCCATTAGAGAAATGCAAATCAAAACCACAATAAGATATCATCTCACCCTGGCATTACTGGCACGAATCAAAAAAACTGGAAATAACAAATGTGTAGAGGCTGCGGCGAGATTGGAACTCTTACGCACTTCTTGTGGGAATGCAAAATTATACAACCATTTTGGAAAATGATATAGCACTTCCTTAGAAAGCTAGAAATAGAAATACCATACGATCTAGCTATCCCATTCCTAGGAATATATCCTAGAGAAATAAGAGCTGTCACACGAATGGTGTCTTAGTCATCTAGTGCTGCTATAACAGGAATACCACAGTGGATGCCTTTAACAAAGAGAAGTTTATTCTCTCACAGTCCAGTAGGCTACAAGTCCATATTCAGGGCATCAGCTCCAGGAGAAGACTTTCTCTGTCAGCTCTGGAGGAATGTCCTTGTGATGCACCAGTCTTCCCTTGGTCTGAGAGCTTCTCTGTGCAGGAACCTCAGGTCCAAAGGATGCACTCTGCTCCTGGCACTGCTTTCTTGGTGGCAAGAGGTTCCCAGATTCTCCACTTGCTTCCCCTTCTTTTCATCTCGTTTAAGAGATAAATGGTGGTGCAGGCCATACCCCAGGGAAACTCCCTTTACATTGGATCAGGGATGTGACCTGGGTTAGGGTGGTGTTACAATCCCACCCTAATCCTCTTAAATTTAAAATTACAATCACAAAATGGAGGACAACCACACAACACCGGGAATCATGGCCCAGCCAAACTGATACACACATTTTTTGGGGGACACAATTCAATCCATGACAAATAGACATATGCAGACCAGTGTTCATTGCAGCATTGTTCACAATAGCAAAAAGATGGAAACAACCTAGATGCCCATCAACAGATGAACGGATAAACAAACTATGGTACATACACACAACGGAGTATTATGCAATGATAAAGAACAATGATGAATCTGCGAAGCATCTCATAACATGGATGAAACTGGAGGACATTATGCTGACTGAAATAAATCAATCATGAAAGAACAAATATTGTATGAGACCACTACTGTAAAAACTCATGAAAAGGTTTACACACAAAAGGAACAATCTTTGATGGTTATGAAGGAGGGGAGGGGTGGGGGGGGACACTACATAGACAATAGATAAGTGGTAACTTTGGTGAAGGGTAAGATAGTACACAATACTGGGGAAGCCAGCACAGTTTGTACAAGGCAAGGTCATGGAAGCTCCACAGACACATCCAAACTTCCTGAGTGGCCAAAGTGGTGAGCTGATAGCTCTGGGGACCATGGTCTCAGGGAACATCTAGCTCAATTTCAATAACATATTTTATAAAGGAAATGTTCTACATTCTAACTTGGTGAGTAGCATCTGGGGTCTTAAAAGCCTGTGAGCAACCATCTAAGATACTCCACTGGTCTCACCCCTTTGCGAGCAAGGGAGCATGAAGAAAACAAGATATAAGGGAAAGGTTAGTCCAAAGGAATAATGTACCACAACTACCACAGCCTCCATCAGACTGAGTCCGGTACAACTAGATGGTGTCCAGCTATCACCACTGACTGCTCTGACAGGGATCACAACAGAGGGTCCTGGACAGAGATGGGGAAAAATGTAGAACAAAATTCTAACTCACAAAAAAAGACCAGACTTACTGGCCTGACAGAGGCTGGAGAAACCCCGAGAGTATGGCCCCCAGACACCCTTTTAGCTGAGTAATGAAGTCACTCCCGAGGTTCACCCTTCGGCCAAAGATTAGACAGGCCCATAAAACCAAATAAGACTAACAGGGCACAATAGCCCAGGGAGAAGTACTAGAAGGCAGTAGGGGACAGGAAAGCTGGTAATAGGAAACTCTTCTTTGAGAAAAGACAGTGTTGACATGTCATGGGTTTGTTAAGCATTGTCATAAAACAATATGTATACTGTTTAATGAGAAACTATTTGTTCTGTAAACCTTCATCTACAGTACAATAAAAAAATTAAAAAAATTTGATGTTACAAATTCACACTCAAGTTTTTTGATTGCTGAAGTAGTAAGTATTCCAACAACCAAAGCCTTAAAAGCAAACAACACATAAATTCAACATACCTATTATTTGTTAAATATGTATGTATGTGAATAAGTACATTCACTTCCTTCAGTAAACGGTAGGTGGACAAAGGTAGAAAACAGATCTTTTCTATATCCAACTTATTTGACTCCAAAATAATATTTGCTTTTCCAGCATTCAGCATATCTATATATTTCTTACCTAGCTGTATGTTTGCAAAATTCAATCTGTCAGTATCATTCCAGTGTTAATTATCAGCTCTATTAATTCATTACACAGGGATACTAGCATAAGGGGACTCAAGAATTCACATTCTTGGGTACAAAATAAGAAACGAACAATGATTTCAACACTATAAAATGAATTGTTCCTTAGCTTCTCCTCATGCTAATGTATGGCAGATCACCAACCATAAGGTGCAGTTTGGGATTTAAGGGGCATGAAGTGTAGTCTAATAAAATCATATTCCCATTATTACCTTTGAAAATAAGCACTTGTATTTCTAGTACACATCTTAGATCCTACTTGGATGTTCCATTAAAGTTATTGGGATTTTTTGTTTGTTTTATTATAATATTTTATTGTGTTTTTGGTGAAACTTTACACTGCAAATTAGGTTCTCATTTAACAACTGCTGCACATACTGGTCAGTGCCATTGGTTACATTTTTCACGAGTCAACATTCTCATTTCTGTTCTGTTTGTTCCATTTCCATTAATCTAGCTTCCCTGCACCCCCCTTACCGTCTTATCTGTGCTTTAGGGTAAATGTTGCCTGTTTGGTCACATACAGATGATTTTTTAAAGGATCACAGTACTCATGGGTGACTGTTTATTTTATGAGCCAATCTGTTATTTTTAGCTGAATGGGTTGTTTTTCTAATGCGGCATTACAAACATTACACAGAATGAAGGAATAAGTCAGTCTCACTTTAAGCAAGTACCTAACAGCATTAGTAAAATGATACTTTGACTTTTAGTCATAGCATGAAATACGAGAAAAATCTACGGCTATTTTTCAATTATTCTTCGAGGGCTTTCAAGTTGGAAAATGCATTATGAAAAACTCAAAAGATGTTGCCAGGATTACTCTAGTAATTAGAGTAAAACAAGTTATACCATTGGGATTCAAGAATCATTACATGATAGGCTGAAAAGAGCTGTAAGATTCATTTGTCCAGATTTTGTAAAATTCTTTGTTTCCCAATAAAATACTTTATTTTAAACTATACATATTCTTTAAGGCAGTCTTCCAATTTGTCAAAATACCTGCTCTTCTGGCTAGTTGTTTATTAGAAATTAGCAGGAACAGCTTTCTCCCCCATATTGCTGGCAACGAAGTTAAACCAAGCCAGCTAATTCTTTCTGCCAGCTGGGCTGTGCTCCTCTGGTCTATGTAGGGAATAAAGCCAGCAAGTGAATGCTCCTTTGTTTTACAAGATGGTAGCATAGTAAATATAAATGTAAATGAGAAAAGGCATATTCCATATCCCAAACAAACTGAACTTCCCTAAATAGGTTAAAAGAAAAAACAAAACCCTTTAGTAAATAAACTTTTACAGTGAAAAAAACCCAACAATGCTAATGCTACAAGTGAACAATTTTCATCATCTTGAGAACTGGTAACAAAGAAGGTTTATATAGTTTTAATCTCCTTTTCAATACCTTGGAGGCAGATCCGGACTACTGATTGTAGTAAAAAAAAAAAAAAAAAACAAGAAATAAACCCGTTGCCGTCAAGTCGATTCCAACTCATAGCGACCCTATAGGGGAGAGTGGAACTGCCCATAGGGTTTCCAAGCAGTGGCTGGTGGATTTGAGCTGCAAGGTCAGCAGCCAAATTCTTAACCACTTTGCCACCAGGGCTCCCACTGATTGTGGTAGCAATGAGTATACGCTAATGTTTTATGATGATTTGCATATTAATACAAGCTGCAATTTTGTGAGTCCACTCTAGGGATGTTTTCTTATGTACGAACATTGGTCCCGGTAGATACGCGCTGATAGCAGATCATTATCCTTGAAGTCTCTTGCCATAAGCACCAAAGCTTTTCAGAGCTGTTTCCTTTGTGAAGATTAATTTTAAGTAGCAAGTCGTTTTTCTTCGTGGTTCATCCCCAAGCCTGAGATTTGCAGTAGTATAGGACTAGTTTACCATCACTTCCAAAATACTCAGAGAGAGTTCCAACTTCCCAGTCTGGAGAAGGGGCAAAGGACTGATTCACATAAATAAACAACTGTTCTGAGGCCACAAGTTTAAGGAAATTTTGATGAAGTCAATGAGTCCTTGGATGGTTCAGGTTCACTCTATAGCCCACTTCTTTATTTTCATAATAGGGGTATCTCGCACAGACTTTAGCAGTATGTCAAGTTTTTCCTTGGTGTCCTCTGTTCCCAGGGAGACTGCAGCAGATGAAGGGGGCTCAGGGGTGACAGTTTCTGGGAAGACCTCCGTAAGTCCTTTGCTGCCAACAGCAGTCGAGGGAGGGAGCTGCAGCACTGACTCTGGTTCCTCTGCCATCTTGCTTGATGGGAGGCGAGGGTGGAAGTGGCCACAAAGATTATTTTTAAATCAATAAGATGAACAAGTCCATAAAAAAAAATGACCAAGGATATAAGCAGGTAATTCACAGAATAAATTAATAAGGCTAATAAACTGATAAAAACATGTCAGTCATAAAGGTAAGAAAGACCTAATTATAATAACGAAATATAATTCTTCATCTATTGGTGTGGATAAGATTAAAAAAGGATGGATCCATCAGGGTCTAGTCAGTAAACCAAAAACTCACTACATTTCAACAGAGACAATTAAATAAAAGGAACTGGTTAAAAGGTATTGGAAAACCAATAAATGAAAAAAGGAACATGAGGTGTGATGTTTAAGGTTGTGTGTCAATTTGACAGGGCCATGATTCTCAGTGGTTTGCCAGTTATATAGTTTGGCAGCTATGTAATGATGTGATCACCTCCATGATGAGATCCGATATAATGTAATCACCTTCATGATGAGATCTGCTATGAACAGCCAATCAGCTGAAAGGGAGTTTCCTTGGGGGTGTGGCCTGCATCCAATATAGGTAGACTTTCTGGTAAAGCTCACTGGCTTTTGCTCACTCTGGATCCTGCAGCTGGCTCCTGATCTGACTTCTGGTTCTTGGGACTTGAGCTAGCAGATTACCTGCCAATCCTGGGATTCATCAACCTCCGCAGCCTGTGAGCCAGTGGCCTGCTGTCTTACCTGCCAGTCTTGGGATTTGTCAGCCTCTGCAGCCTATGAGCTAGCCGCTTACTGTCTGACCTGCTGATTTTGGGATTTGTCAGCCTCCACAGCCTGTGAGCCAGCGGCCTGCCGTCTGACCTGCCAATCTTGAGATTCATCAGCCTCCGCAGCCTATAAGCCAGAGGCCTGCAGTCTAACCTGCTTATCTTGGGTTTGCCAGCTCCTGCAGCTATGTGAGTCAGGAGAAGCCTCCAGCCTGACCCAAGGACTTGTGACTCTCCAGCCTCTACGACCACATGAGCCGTTTCCTTGATATAAATCTCTCTCTCTATATATATATATGTATATATATATGTTTTACTGATTTTGCTTCTCTAGAGAACCCAGCCTAAGACATGAAGTTACACAGAGATAGTAACTACAAGCAGCAGCTACCTCCCCCAGGGTTGGGGGAACAAAAGGAACAGGCTGGAGTCATCGGAGTTTAGAAGATTTGATGAAGCTGATATGATATCTTCAAGGAGGAGATGCACCTCAACTAGTGCTGATACCTCAGGAGCTGGGAGAACCAGACCCAAGGAACTGAGGCTCAGACTTCTAAGGAGGGCGAATTCTGCCTGGATGATGATGGTACTTCATAGGGATACAACGAGGATTCTGAAAAAGAAAAAGCTTTGGAGACTGCTGGCAGGATGAAGGACTATTGCTAAAGTAACACTGACTGGCAAAGTAAGCAACTTGGAAGGAATAAATAAATTCTCCCCTCCTCCTGCTTTCCAGTCACCAACTAATACTGACTATTGGTAGACCTTTACAGAAATCCAGTTGACAAAAGAAAAGTGTAGTTTATAGAGTCTCAGCCCCAAGCATCACAAAACACAGTACAGAAGGGTTGGCTTGCAAATGAGAGACGAGAGCTTAATAACTAGCACAACTGACAAAACCAGTGCTTGTGAGTAGGTAAACAGGTTTCATAAATTGTTAATAGAATTGCAAGTAAATACAAGTTTTTAGGAAAGTGTTTTTAGCAGTATTTTAAAAATTTTAACAGGTATATCTTCTTTGTCTCTGGAAGAGGTTTTAGCTGGAAGCAATAGAAATACTGATCAATTTAAAAATGGTAGCTCACAGTATCTTCAGGAAGGTCAGAGGGCCTGGCTTGGAGTCTATGCAGCCAGGAACAATGCTCCAAATCACTCTACAGCATAAGTCCCATGAGAACATCATTGCAAACATGGCTGAGCAGACACACCAGCTTTTCATTAATGATGCTGGACTCTTTATTCTCTTACTACTTCCTCTAGAAATTGGTTGTATCTACTACTGCTCCCACCACAGAATAAATTCTGGGTGTCTCCTGATGTTTTCCATTCCAAGGCTGAGAAAATATCTGATTGACAGAGACTAGACCATGGTTTTGTACCCTGAGATAGGCTGGATAAGTGGCATTATTAGTTTCTATAATGCCCTAGGAGATCTGAACTCATCTGGTAAAATTACCTACAGTAACTCTGTGGCCTTAGATTAATGATGCTGGAGTAAAAAGAAAAGGTATGTATAAGGAGTTTTAATATCTTATACCTCTTTAAATAGCTGGATCAGTCAAGATTCTCACTTGCAAGCTGGTTAAGCTGAAAGAACTTAATGAACAGGATGCTAGGTAGCTCCTCAAATTGTGGCAAGTGGGCTCAAGGTCAAGCTTCCAGGAAATACCAAAAACTACAACACAAAATAGGCTAGATGAAAAAACAGCTACTCCTACTGCTTCCCTCTAAATACCAGATGAAACTGCTGTCGTCACTGCCACACCACTGTAACTTCTGCAGCTAGAACTTGACTGTAGCCACTGGGGAAATATTATCACAATCATTGTTGCTTCTAAAAGTCATGACTCTGTTACCATTTGCTCCAGTCAAAAAATGAAAGCTCCATGAAGAGCCTGTTCCACATCCAAATTAAAGTTTTCTGTGGGTGTACCTGGCTGATGGAGCACAGATCAAAAGCTTGAATCTTAGCTGCAAGGGAGTCCAACAAATAGGTTGGGAAAGCGTAACTCATTATGAGGGAATTTACCCAAAGAGAGACTGTCTATTCAAAAGACAGGCAGGCATAAATATAACAATTGTTTACTACATATAGTCATTTATTAATCTTTTTCCTAAGATCTCCTCCCTGGGATCTTGCCTTAGAAAAACATAACCTTTGTTTTTGCTTGTATTTTGATTTTACAGTTGCCTTAGCTCTGGAGAGTACCTGAGAGTGAAGGTACTGATAACAAAGAAGTTGAGGGTCTCTTCTGCCCACCAGGCAATATCACTCAAGAGATCCTTGAAAGACACAATCCTAACTCTAGCTGAATTCTCTTATCTACAAAGAAAATGGAGGATGTGTCTTTATGATCAGAAGTAAAAACCAAAGGGCCTGGTGAAAGAACAAGTCTTCATCCCCAGGAGAACCAAGTTTGCTCTATACAGTCAAATTACCTCAATGTTCAAAAAAGTTTATCCAGAGAAGAGTTACACCCTTACAGGCATTAGAATCTAAGCAACTCAAAAAGAGAAAACAAGTAAATAAACAAACACATTAGCAACAACATACTGAAAGCTGTCCTTCCTGGAACTTCTTTCCTGGAACTGCCTTCCTGGAACTGCCTTCCTAGAACTTTAAATGACCTGCTTTAGCCCCTGTAAGCTAACCTAGCCCATGCAGGCCAACTCACACATCTTTTTCTCTGGATTTTAGGTAATATTTTTCTCCTATCAGATTCCCTGGGTGGTGCAAATGGTTAAGTGCTCGGCTACTAACCAAAAGACTGGCAGTTTGAATCCACTCAGAGGACACCTGTAAGAAAGACATGGTGATCTACTTCTGAAAGATCACAGCCATTGAAAACCCTATGGAGCGGAGTTCTATTCTGAAACACATGGGGTCGCCATGGGTCAGAATTGACTTGACGGCAACTGGTTTGATTTGGTTGGTTCTCCTATCATGACCTGCCACCAACTGTCTATCAATTTGTCATACTGTGGTGCCTTGCATGTTGCAGTGATGCTGGAAACCACACCACCACTATTTCAAATACCATTAGGGTAACCCATTGTGAAGGGGTTTCAGCAGAGCTTCCATACTAAGACAGACTATGAAGAAAAGCCTGGTGATCTACTTCCAAAAATTAGCCAATGAAAACTTTATGGATCACAACATAACACTGTCTGCTTGCTTTGGACATATCATCAGGAGGGATCAATCACTAGAGGAGGAGATCATGTTTTGTGAAGTAGAGGGCCAGTGAGGATGAGGTAGACCCTCAGTAAGATGGACTGGCACAATAGATACAATGACAGACTTGAACATACTAGCAATTTTGAGGATGACGTACAACTGGGAAGTGTTTCATCCTGTTGTACTTAAGGACATCATAAGTTGGAGTCAACGGCAACTATCTGTCTCTCTATTCATCCATCCATCTATAATCTATTTATCATGACCTTTCCTGACTTGCTTGTCTCTAATACCAATATCAGTTGCTGCAACTGTTTGTTTTTTTGTTTTGCTTTGTTTCCCTGATATTCTACTACCTCCAGGTGTAGCTTAACAAAGTTCATTACTGTTATAAGCTTTGTCCTCATAACACTTTCTTTGAATCTACATGTTCATGTTCAATTAAATATCTGTATCAAACCATTTTGAATGAGAAGTTATAAAGATATTTCATACCTAGGATTTCATTCTTTATGAGAATGCACGCATGGGTACACGCATGCACACACACATTACTCATAATGAAATAGTTTTTACCTGTTTTAGAAATCATGTTGTCCCACTCAAGAAATTTGGAGGCATGGTTTTTCAAAAGGAATGAACATTCCCCTAATCTTGACTCCATGTTTATGACTGCTTCAAATACTCGAGAGACATTTTCCCATAAATGTGTATAAACTGAAATAAAGGAACAATCTTCCTTTATATTTTTCAGAGTCTGTGCCCATTTAGGATCATAACCCAAATAGACTTCCCTTGGCCAATAATCCTGCAAAAATGTGAAATAGAGAATAAAACTTAAATCATTTTCAATGAATTTAAATAAAAGTTCAAACTCAATGAGTTAATATTAAGATTTTATTCCACAGCATTATGTTTATTAAATGTTCTTTTTAATTTTGAAACAATCACAATCACAAATGCTTTATAAAATTTTTTTCCTGAATAATTCATTTACGATTGTCTATATGATGCTTCACCATTTCTGAATACTGTATAATTCCTAACAACCAAAACATTCTCCTAAATAACTACAACACAACTACCAGAATTAAGAAATTGTCATTGATGCATTATTCATATCTAATCCTCAGTTTCTATTCAAATTTCACCAGTTGAACCAATAATGCTCTTTATAGCAAAAGGAACTAGTTTAGGATCACACATTGTGTTTAGGTGTCATGTCTCTTTAGTTCTCTTCAGTTTGCAACAATTTCTTTTGCAGCAATTGGCTTTTATGACATTGACACTTTACAAAATTATAGGCTAGTTGTTATGATGTAAACTTTTCCTTATTTAAGTATGTCTGCTATTTTCTCATAATTAGATTCATTTTATACATCTTCGGGGGCCCGAATATCACAGAAGCGGTGCTGTGTTCTTGTTGCATTCTGTCTGCTGGCATACACTTTTGATTTGACCTGTCACTGACAATGATGGCTTTGATAAATAAGGTGATGTTTGCCAGATTTTTCCACTGAAAAGCTACTTTTTTCCTCTTTATAATTAACAACTATTTTGTGGGGAGAGTTATTTTGGAACTATGTAAATATTCCACTCCCCATCAAACTTTCCAATTATTTGTTTGTTTATACTAGTATGGATTTATGGGTTCTTGGTCACTAGAGTTGAAACTGACTTGAGAGCACCTAACAACAACAACGTTTTATTCAATGGATTATAATCTGGTATGATCATTATTTATTTTGATGCACCCAATATCTCAGATTTGCACAGTGAAATATCTCTATATTTCTTGAGTATTTCCTTGCTTTCTGGCAAGAACCAGATGTCCCAAGGCTCATCTTGTAGTTACCCTGTCCCAGTCCTGGAATCATGCATTTCTTCAATGAACTCTAGTCAAATTTAGTAGAAAACAGTCTTTAGAAGTTAAGATTTTGGTGCATATGAGCTTGTTACCATTGGGGTACTGCTGCTCCCAGTGGACAGAGCAACAGTACACACACGTATCTCTATTTATTTATCTTCTATCTTATATGTATTTAAAATCATGAGTTTACACTGATACCTGTAATTCCAATTCCAAATATTGTAGTTTCCTCTTTCAATACTAAAATTACTATTTCTAATAGTGAGAAACCTAGCTGTGTTATCTTTAATATGTTTACTTATTCAATCAATCCTTTTATGTAACCAAGCTTTCATCTCCGCTGCCATCCTCTCCCTTATGTGGATAACCTTCTCATCCTGCTTAGGCTCTGACACCTCATGCCAGGCAGCCCACTGTGCAGGGACACCCATCTCACCCCCACTTGGGCACTGTCTTTCCAAACCAGGCCACAGCCTACCTCTATCCACTCCCTCCTTGTGGATACCTTTCTTATCCCCTTGAACTCTGACACCTGAATACCTTCCTCACCATGGTTGGGCTCAAGTAGCCTTCTCTGGGCCACCATGGCTATTACCCTTCCTCCCCCAACGTGAAAGTCTACCTAGTTTTGCGCCATCAAATGGCTTTAGGACTAAATTTTTCAGGAAGAGGAAAGGGAAGGAAAAGGAAGGAGAGGGAAGAGAAAGGAAGAAAAGGGAAGGAAAGGAAATGGAGAGGAGGAGAAGGGATAGAGGAAGGGGAACCACAAAATTATATTTGTAAATCTAAGTTTATCTTTTAAATATAATCAAATAATAGTAAAACAAAGAAAGTTACTCAACATGATTAAAGGTTTGTGAATGAGATAATGCTTTTGGTATTGTTGGGAGAGTTGAATAGGATGAAACTCTTTAGTGGAATTGGGGTAAGCTATATGGGAAATTTAGCTAAATGGGAAGAAATTTGAAATCTGCAGATCAGGAAGTTCAAATCTGCCTCAGTCGGTATTGTTTCCCTTTTTCTTCCTTTAAAAGTTTCCTCAAATGCACCATACATGACCCTATTTATGACTTGTGCTCTCTAATGATAACAGGTACTGAGTGATACCCAGTTTTTAGCTCTGGAAAATATCCCAAAGGTATCCAGGCTTCCCTGTAATTTTGTAAAAACCAGTATTACTTAGATACAGAAGTTCCCTTTCCAAATCTTGCAAACATGTATCTTAAATGAGACACATAACCATCTGGGGAAACTGTCCAGCATTAAAAGCTAGGTATTAGATGTTTTTTTTTAAAAAAAAACCAACTAAGAACAAGATAAGACCACAAGATAAAATCCCTGAAGATGTTAGGGGACCCTAAAGGCTGAAGACACCATTAGTATTCCATTGGTTGTCAGACCGTGTCTAGTCACCTCCCCCACCACATCACTCACTTCCTCTAAGCTGTTTTGCAGAGCCTCTGGAGAGCCCGGGATGGGTCCAGACCTAACCGGTTCAGAATGGTCAGATATGTGCAGAACAAAGATAACTGACAGATGACCCCAGGCCACCATGCATGCTGAGTAACACAAGAGGACTCATGCCAAGGAACCCAAATCACCGGATATACGTCATCAGCAGTAGCCGAGCCCATCTCAGAAGTGAAGAGGCCACTGGCCACTTCCGGATCAAGTCATAGCCCCACCTTTGTAATAAATAATCAATAGAAACTATGAAGAGTTAAAACTTTCTGATCCTGCCCACCGCCTTCCTCCACCCGTATATAAATATGTATAAGTATAAACTGTGATTTCTCACTCAAATTGAGGAACTCAATCAGACGATGATCTCTCTTGAGTTCCCGCTTGCTAGCCTGCAAACTGCAAAATAAACTTTCTTTTTTTTTATTGTTGTAATTAAATGAAGTTTACATTTCAAGTTAGTCTCCCATACAGAATTTTTTTTTTTTACATACATTGTTATGAGACCCCAACCACTCACCCCATTCTGCAATAGCACACTCCTCCCCTCTTCCCTGATTCCCCATAAACATTCAACCAGATCCGAACCCTCTCTGCCTTCCCATCTCACCTCTGGACAGAAGCAGCCCCTTTGGTCTCTTGTATCTACTTGTCTAAGAGGCACATTCTTCACAAGTATCACTTTATGTCCCACAGTCCAGTCCAATCCCTGACTGAAGAGTTGGCCTCGGAAATTGTCTTAGTTCTGTGGTGATGGAGAGACCAGGGGCCATGCTTTCCGGGGCGCCTCCAGTCTTAGTCAGACCATTAAGTCTGGTCTTCTTACTAGAATTTGAGTTCTGCATCCCATCATTCTACTGCTCCATCAGGGACCCTCTCTTGTGTTCCCTGTCAGGACGTTCATTGGTGGTAGCCGGGCACCATCTAGTTCTTCTGGTCTCAGGCTGATGAAGTCTCTGGTTTATGTGGCCCATTCTGTCTCTTGGGCCAATACTTTCCTTGAGTATTTGGTGTTCTTCGTTCTCCTTTACTCCAGGTGATTGGGACCAACTGATGCATCTTAGATGGCTGCTTGCAAGCTTTTAAGACCCCAGACGCCACTCACCAAAGTAGGCTGCAGAACATTTTCTTAATAAGCTTTGTTATGCCAATTGACATAGATGTCCCTTGAAAGCATGGTCCCCAGACCCCGCATCCCTGCTACTCTGTCTCTCAAAGTGTTTGCGTGTATTGAGGAAACTTCTTAGATTTGGTTTAGTCCAGTTGTGAAATAAACTCTTTCTTCCTCTTAAAACCAGCATCTGAGAGACTAGCTTCTTGCACGCTGGGCACAGACCCACTGGTCCGGTTTCAAAGACAAGTAGCATCAATTTGGAATGATAGCTACATTCGAAAATACAGTCCTTATAGGTCATAAGTTGTTATTGTTACAGAAGTTGAGAGAGTGAAGTGAAGCTAAAATGGAAAAAACTTTGAAAATATTTTATAATGTGTACAAACCTTTATGAAAATGTACCCTTTATACTGGACTTGAGATATTACAATCTTTGTTCCCATGACACTGAAGTGTATTATAAGGTGAATAAAGTACCCTGATATTCTAAAAGCCTGATGAGACTCTGTCTCTTTTACATTAACAAGATAATCAGGGGATTGACTGGTGTTTCAAAGCCATTAACACAAAGAAGGTAATGTTTACATATGCCTTGGTTGTTTTACTGGATTCTTTGTAACTGGACTGTGGCATGGACATCAGATGATCATCTTGTAGTAGATCATACCTGCCTTTCTACTTTCACTCTTCCTCTAATCACATTCCCTTTTTATTCCTTTCTATTTTGTCTTTAACCAGATTCCCTTGAATAGCATATTGTTTGAAAAGTATATTTTGTAGCCAGACCTAGGGAAGGTAAGCAGCCAAGGGGCAGATGAGTTGTTAGGCAAAAATGACGTCATTACTACTGAAGGGAAAGTCAACACTACCAAGTTTAAGCAGCCGGAGTCACAGTGATGATATAAATTCAAATGAAATAAATGTTATTTGCATTCCAAAGGGACAAAAGAATTGGACTGGAAATTGTCCTTTACCTCAAGAGTTAGATTCTTCATTGTAGCACTATGATCCTCAGTGATAACTCCTAGAAAACATCTATCTTATTTAAAACAAGGTTAGTGAAATAAGAATTGGCTATGTATTTATGTTTAGTTTAATTACAGCAATTATACTTTGGCAGTGGCAGAAGTGCACAATACTATATACTAGTACAAAACTAGAGATAGAGGAATGAGTAAAGGAGCTCCCCTGAAGTTTGAAGAGGGATTTTGTTTAATCAGGTTAGGTCTTCACCCACATTCCAAGCCTCAAAAGACAGTACTGAACCATCTAACAAAGGGTAAGAAATAAGAATCATGCCTAGGGTTAAAGGAAGAAGAAACTGTTAGCTCTTCTTCTCTTTTCTTAAGCTTTCACATAAGAAAATATTTAAATGAATGAATGAATAAATAAAGAGTAAATAAGTGCAAAAATGAAGATAAGTAAATAAATAAAACAAATGTAGGTTATTCCCTGAATAAAAAGGATAGGATTGAAATAATTATTTTCTCTATCATAGAGTTGCCTTGATCCTCTGGAAAAAATCACAGTAGGAATCTGAGTACCAAACAGGTCTGTATTATAAGCCTAGCTAGTAATTTTCCTCCTGGATGTTTTCAAATATCCAATAATTTGTCATACGGAATGATACAGGAAACATCAAAAGAAGATGGAGGGAATACACAGAGTCACTGCACCAAAAAGAACTGGTCAGTGTTCAACCATTTCAGGAGGCAGCATATGATCAACATCTGATGGTACTGAAGGAAGAAGTCCAACCTGCATGGAAGACACTGGCGAAAAACAAGCCTCCAGGAATTGACAGAATACCAACTGAGATGCTTCAACAAATGGAAGTGCTCACTAGTCTATGCTAAGAAATTTTGAAGAGGGCTACCTGGCCAACCAACTGGAAGAGATCTATATTTATGCTTCTTCCCAAGAAAGATGATCCAACAGAATGCGGAAATTACCTAACAGTATAGTTACTATCGCACACAAGCAAAATTTTGCTGAAGATCATTCAAAACTGGTTGCAGCAGTACATTGACAGGGAATTGCCAGAAATTCAAGCAGGATTCAGAAGAGGATGTGAAACAAGGGATATCATTGCTGATGTCAAATGGATCATGGCTGAAAGCAGAGAATACTAGAAAGATGTTTACCTGTGTTTTATTGACTATGCAAAGGCATTCAACTGTGTGGATCATAACAAGTTATGGATAACATTGCGAAGAATGGGAATTCCAGAACATTTAACTGTGCTTACGAGGAACCTGTACATAGATCAAGAGGCAGTTGTTTGAACAGAAGAAGGGGATACTGTGTGGTTTAAAGTCAGGAAATGTGTGTGTCAAGGTTGTGTCTTTCACCACACTCATTCAATCTGTATGCCGAGCAAATAATCCGAGAAACTGGACTACATGAAAAAGAACAGGGTATTAGCATTGGAGGAGGACTCATTAACAACCTACGATATGCAGATGACACAATTTTGCTTGCTGAAAGTGAAAAGGATTTGAAGCACTTACTGATGAAGATCAAAGACCACAGCCTTCAGTACAGATTACACCTCAACATAAAGAAAACAAAAATCCTCACAACTGGACCAATAAGCAACATTATGATAAACGGAGAAAAGACTGAAGTTGTCAAGGATTTCACTGTACCTGGATCCACAATCAGTGCCCATGAACACAGCAGTCAAGAAATCAAATGACACACTGCATTGGGCAAATCTGCTGCAAAAGACCTCTTTAAAGATACCACTTCAAGGACTAAGCTGAGCCTGACCTAAGCCACGGTGTTTTCAATTGCCTCATATGCATATGAAAGCTGGACAATGAATAAGGAAGACAGACGGAAGAAGAACTGATGCCTTTGAATTATGGTATTGACCAAGAATATTGAATATGCCATGGACTGCCAGAAGAATGAACAAATCTGCCTTCGAAGTACAGCCAGAATGCTCCTTAGAAGCAAGGATGATGAGACTTCGTCTTACACACTTTGGACATATTATCAGGAGGAACCAGTCCCTGGAGAAGGACATTTTTCCTGGTAAAGTAGAGAGTAAAAAAGAGGAAGACCCTCAAAGAGATGGACTGACATAGTGGTTGCAAAAACGGGCTCAAGCATTAACACCAATTATGAGAATGGCGCAGGATCGGGCAATGTTTCGTTCTGTTGTACACAGGGTCGCTATGAGTCCGAACTGACTTGATGGCACCTAATAACAACAACAATAGTTCGGCAACACATAAACATAGTCAAGCCTTAACAAAGAAATGAAAAGCTACAGAATATGAGTATTCGTTTGGGAAAGCTAGAAAAGATTTACAGACAAAACCATACAAGACAAAAATGGCATCAGTATATAAATAATAAATATGGTACAACTGGATGCATTGTTTTATCAAATGCTATCTGATAAAAATTGAAGGCTATAAATATGGATGCTATCTTTTGCATACAAAGGGTGGTACTACTGACATACCATTAATAAGTTATGTGCTTTGATTTTGATTTTATTACATCTTTGGTGAAGGGATGGAATAATCCTACAATCTTGATTTGATTAGTATAATTTTCAAATTAAACTGAGAGGTTATGCGTTTTCCACTTCATATAATTAGAACTTTTCATCTGAGAGTATAGGTCATAGGTGGCACAAATGGTTAAGTGCTCAACTACTAGCTAAAAGTTTGGCTGTTGGAACTCACCCAGAGGCACCTCGAATGACAGGCCTGGGTCAAAGACTTGAAAACTCTATGCAACCGTTCTACTCTGTACACATGGGTTACCATCAGTCAGAATTGACTTGCTGGCAACCAACAACAACCAAAACTAAAACATTTGTGATGGTATAGTCCAAATGTCTCCATAATTATTTGCTGAGTTTGGCTTAATTTTAATTATAATCTTTTCCCCTTGCCATTAAAAATGTCTTTAATGCCTCAAACATAGTCATTAGGCTGCAGCACATTTCTATCATTATTTAAATCAAAACAGTTACAAAAAGCTTGTCCCAACAGCACTTCAAAATATTTGGTCTGCCATAATGATTGAAATAAACTTTTGCAAACTAGGAACACTTTCATTTTCTATTTGTTCCTAAAGGGAACACAAGGTTTTGCCTAAACATTGAAAAAAAATATACTTAAACAAATATAATAACAAAAAATAGATGTTTTAAAATAGATATTTCTGAAACTCCATTGCCAATAGTTTGGTCACAGCACATTTGGTCTATATTTAAACATAAATAAAAACTAAATCCATTGCCACTGAGTTCATTCTGACTCATGGCAACCCCATTTGTTACAGAGTAGAACTACTCCAGGTAATTTTCTTGGCTATAATCTTTACAGAAGCAGATTGCCAGGCCATTCTTCCACAGTGCTGCTGGACTGGTTTGAATAGCTAAACTGTAGGTTAGTAGTTGAGCGCGAACCATTTGCGCCAGCCAGGAACATACAGGTACAAATTATTTATGTTCCAACTCACCAAAAATACAGACACACATATCGCATAAAAGAAAAAAGTCTCCTCTTTCTGTCTTCTACACTGACATCTGTATCCTAGGCCTTACTTAACACTCTTCAATGCAAAAGAAACCTGACCTTCAGATCTGCAAGTGCATGGACCCAAGGAAGAATTCTTACCAAGCCCAATAACTCCAGAATATGTCAGAAGTTATATATCACAATGGAAACTGGAGCTTTCAACATGAAAACACATTTTGAACATTTCTCTCTGATTCAACAAGCAGGGAATATTGATAGAACATCTTTGTAAATTACTCGTGAGTCTCTGCTGTGATGCACGGATAGATGAGGTAAGTAAGCATCATTGCCAGATATTCTTTTAAGGTGTAAATATGTAAGACAAAAATATTATCTTATTAGCAAAATTATATAGAAATGACTGTATAATTCTGATAGGATATAGGGTTAGAATTTTTAAACTGTAAAATGGAGAACAGAATGTTGACAAGACGGGATGTTGACAACAAAGACCCTACTGAAAGGAGATAAATATTTATAAACACTACCCACACTGAAATCTATTTGTCAAATTTCTATTTTTAAAGTCTTTTCCTAAGCCTTCCACATCTCTATAAATGATATTTTACTAAGCTGTATTAGCACATAAAATAGGCTGCGCTACTCACCCAGTTTTGAGACTTTAAGAATTCTTCAAGGTTCTTTGGAGGTTCTTGAATTTTCTAAGGAAGGAAAATCAATACTGCTCATTGACATAAACCTAGATTTTTTATAATGCTTATGCATAATTTACTTAAATAAAATATGATACAGGATTTAAGTTATAATTTTCAGAACCAAGATATTGTAAAATATTCACTTTTTAAAGTAACTGCATTTTTAAAGGGTCAGATATACATGTTTAAATGCTGAGCCATCAAACCAAATTCTGTAAAAAGGTCTCCTTTATGTACTGCCTGTAGAGAAATAATTCACATGAATCCTGCTGAATGTTCTAATTTCAAATTCCTACAAGACTTCCAAGACATATTGTGTCATCTTGGATGATTTCTATAATAAATCCAGAGCAAAAATATAATAATACTCTCTTTTTGCTGATGAGGTGTTTTAAAAAGCCACACTAGTTAAATGGTGAAAATAATTTAAATATCTGGATATCTAATAAGTAATAACCCCATTTTTGTTAGTAGTTTCTCTGTGAGTTGAAAATGTATTCTCCTATTACACAAACTAATTTTAATCAAGACCACACTTTGCTCTTCCTTAACTTGGGGACTTTGCACACATTCTTCCCTCTGCCTAGAAACTCCCTGTTTTAAATTCTTGCCCTCCAATCTCTTCTTGGCCTATTTAACTCTTACTTCAAATCCCAAATTAAAAGTCAATTTTTCTAGGAAGACTTCCTTGGCCCCTAAAAAGCTTTTCCATGGTAGCACGCAGCAAATTCATATCTCTATGAAGATGGTGCGATCACTGCTGGATAATCAAAATTTTACACAGTGGTTGGCCCACAGTCACTGCATAATAAGTACTTGCAGTGTGAATGAATTAATGAATAAATGAGTAGACAAATGTGAGAGAAATATGCAAGTATTTGGAAAAAACAATAAAAACACTTTCAGAGAATGAAAGACCAGTGAGAAGGAGGTAAAAAATTCAGAATTCAGAAGTTTAATACTCAAATGATCTGATGATGATGACCTGGCTGAAAAGATCATATTTTTATTTACTGAAACACATATTGCATATGAATAGATAAAATGGTCAAGATTACAAATTCACAAGGCCATGTTTTATAAAATTATTACACATTTGAGGCTGAAGAGAAATATTTCACTCTCAATATTGTTTAAAATATACAATGAATGTAACTAAATACATAACTAATAACAATATAATAAAATAAAAGATATGTGATAACTATTATAGAAAATAATCGTTCAGAAACAAACATGCATATAGCCGTCAAGAACATTTTATGGAAAATTTCTGGGCCTAGTTAGATTGAGAGGGATGAGAGATGTGACAGATGTGTGCACAAAAGACTTAGAAACAGAAAAATGTTCATGACTGTAGGGTAAAGGGCCCAGTTATACCCTAAGTAAGGTGACCTTTGTCTTTGGCTCTGGAGAAATGACCATTGGAGCAGTTGGGTGCATTGGTCTGGGAGTCCAGCGCATACCTGAGAATTTGTGCTGACAAACGGGTCTAGCCAGATCAGAAAAGACTCGCCTAGGAGGCTGATATCAACTAGTCTCAGGAGGCATTATTTAGCCTATCATACAGGATTGGCTGGTAAAAGCCTGGAAACTAGAGTTCAGGGAGCTCCCTGATTAATGAGAATACCTGCTCTTGGGAGGGTAGCACGCCCCTTGGGACATGGAAGTTTCACGTTGGGAACCCTCCCAGATCTCACCTTATGTGTCGCTTAGTTTGTATTCTTTTTGGTCATAGTAAATCTGTATTCTACATAAGGTATACTCTTTGTGAGTTCTGTGAGCCATTCCAGTTAATTACTGAACCCAAAGGGGCAGTGGGAGCCATAAGATCAGAAAGTAAGAGCGTTGTGTGTTGCGTCTGGCATCCTGAAGGGGTACTGCGAAATCAGCCCTGAATTTGTAGCCGGCTGGTCGTAAGGTTAGGGTATCACGTTGAGTCTCCAAACTTGCACCCACCCACCATCTGCCTGTTTGTCAGTCCGAAGGACAGTGTTCTTTTCTTTTAACTTGTGAGCTCTGATCTAGCTCTGGGTGGTTAGGGTCAGAAAGAAAGAGCTCTGTAGGGGTGGCTGGTGATGAGGATGGAGAAGTGGGAATGTGAGGACCAGATCAATCTCCACATTTTGGGGACTGGATTCATGCTGTTCCTTACTGCACAATGATATAATATCTTCTGGGATAGTGAATATGGCAGCTTGGCTAGAAGGAAGCTAGCAGAATATTCTGAAATGCACAAAATAAAAAGAAGTCTAATAAAAGCAATTTAAATGTTGACTTTTTTCTTTGTAATGGCTGTCAAACCACTTCTAGCACAAAGTACTAAAAATGAAACCCACCTTTTAATTAGGGGAAATTAGAAAAGTGAATTAAGAAAGTGACACTGGCTCAGGAAAGTTCCAGCTGATTTCAATATAAAATTCTCAAGTTCTCTAGGGGTAAATTTAAAACGAAGGTGAGGCATAAATTAAACAGACTTCTACTTTCAGTAGGATGTAGAAGGATGTAAGAGACGTATGCTTCCATGGTAACAAGAAGAAAAACCTCGACAAAATTAAAATCACACTTTTCTATGGGGTTAGTGAAAAGTGGTGCTTGCCAGGAAGCAGCGGCATCTACATAATTTGTGGGGTATGGTGCAAAATGAAAATGCACAGTTCCTTGTTTAAAAATTATTAAGACTTTCAAGATGGTGACAGAAGAGCATTAAACCAAGTGCAGGGTCCTTCTAAGCATGGTGCCCTATATACCTGCACAGGTTCCACACCCATTAAGCTGGCCCTACAAGAAAGCCTTGATGACCTGAGTCCAGAGAGAAATGAGCCCTTCATAGTTGAGTATAAAATTGTGGCAGCTCCCTTACCTGGAAGCCAGTGCCTGCTCTGCGTATCTGTGGAAGGAAGCCTTGGCCTGCCATGGCACAGTAACTTTGCAGAAATGAAGAGAAATCAGCTGGGCTTTAGGGATCAACATGAACTGTAGGAATTAGGAGTCTGAAACACATCCAAATGCAAAAACAAATGACTCAGTTAAACATTCCTATATACCATCCACCTAAACACACTCCTAAAATTTACCAAGAAAGCAGTAGTGGAGGAGGGGCTGGAAAGCATAGAGAAATTATATAGGCCAACACATTATCATAGTACTTGGATTCTAGGTCACTAACAGAGTTGATTCCAAAGGTTCAAAGATAGTTTGAATAAAAAAAATCTAAAACTGCAGTACAAATTACTCCCAGCTCAAATACTGACACAATAGAAAGACAGCTATAAAAGGGGAGATTGGAGGTTAGGTTAATCACAGGTGAACTCAATCTAATTAAAGCTATATCCAAAACCCAAACCTGTTGCCGCCAAGTTGATTCCGACTCACAGTGACCCTGTAGGGCAAAGTAGAACTGCCCCATAGGGTTTCCTAGGAGCTGTTGGTGGATTCGAACTGCTGATCTTTTGGTTAGCAGCCTGAGCCCTTAACCACCCTAAAACTAAACTCAACTCTGGGAGGAGTCTAAAAGGCTAAAAGAGGAAAAGGCTTATGCTCTCTGAAAACTAAACAAAACACAACTAAATTGTATTTCAGTCTCCACTATTTTCACACATAATATCTAATATAAAATATCTAATATACAATCTAATATACAATACCTAATATAAAATTGTAAGACATACAAAGAAGAATGAAAATGTAACCCATAACTAAGAGAAAAACAGCCAATAGAAACCAACTCACTGAAAATTAGCTATTGTAATTCCCAGACAAGGACTTTACAATAATTATTAGATATATGTTAAATAATTTACAACATAGATTGAATTACAGTTGATGAAGAGATGGGGCACTTTAGGAGAGAAATGGAAACTCTAGGAAAAAAAAGAAAATTCTAGAACCATGCACATACTAACCATAAGAAACCTAGTGTATTTCTATTAATAGCAGATAAAGTAGACTAAAGTATTGTTGTTGTTAGGTGCTGTCAAGTGGACTCCAACTCATACAAACCTCAGGTAAAACAGAAAGAAAATTTTACCCAGTCCAGCACCATCCTCACAATTGTTGCCGTTTGAGACCATGTTGCAGCCACTGTGTCAATCCATCTCACTGAGGGTCTCCCTCTTTTTCATCTACCCTTTACTTTACCAAGCATGACGTCCTCCAGCAACTGGTCCCTCCTGATAATGTACCCAAAGTAAACGTGAGGAAGTCTTGCCATCCTTGCTTCTAAGAAGCAGTCTGGCTGTACTTCTTCCAAAACAGATTTGTTTGTTCTTCTAGCAGTCCATGGTATATTCAATATTCTTCACCAATATCATAATTCAAACATGTCAATTCTTCTTTGGTCTTCCTTTTTAATTAGCCAGCTTTTGCACACATATGAGGCAACTAAAAATACCATGGCTAGGATTAGGTGCACCTTAGTCATCAAAGTGACATCTTTGCTTTTTTAAGATTTTGAAGAGGTCTTTTGCTGCAGATTTGCCCAATGTAATACGTTATATTACATAATGATAAAGGGTCTGTTCATTAAGAAACTCTAACAATACTAATATGTTTGCATCTCATAATAGAGCTTTCAAAAAAAGGTAACAGAAATTGATAGAACTAAAGAGAGATACAGGAAAAGTCACAATTTTAGGTAGATATTTTAACACACATGCATAAGTTGGTAAGAAGATAACAGATTTGAATAGCATTATCAAAAAACCTAATTGACATTTATAGAATAACTACATCCCACAACTGCAGAATACATGGTCTTTTTAAGCAATGGAAATAGAACGTTCACTAGATGGACACCTGCTGTACTATAAAACAAGTCTCAAAAATTTCAAATAATTGTAATCATTCATAGTATATGCTCTGGCCAGAACAGAATTAAATAGAAAACAGTAAGAAAAAATTTGGGAAATTTTTAAATATTCAGTGACCCATTTTCAAATAACATATACTCAAAGAATAAATAAGAAAAGTCAAAATATTTTTCTAACTGAATGATAATGAGAGATAATGAAAACACGACATATTAAAAATTCTAGGTTATAGATAAAGCTGTAATTAGAGGAACACCTGCAGCTTTAAACACTTGTACTAGAAAGGAAAAAAAAAAAACTAAAACCAATTAATTAAGATTCCACCTTATGAAACTAAAAAAAAAAAAAAAAACAAAAATAAGTAGAAAAAAGAAGTAATAAAGATACAAGCAGAAATCAATGAATTAGAAAATATGCAAATAGTAAAGAAAATAAAAACTAAAAGCTAGCCTTTGAAAACATGAAAATATAGATAAACATTTATTAGGAGTGAATAAGAAAAAAAGAAAGA